GAATTTTTATTCATGTGCAGGTTATATTAATTGTCATTCTGACCTTAGCTTCAATATCACCACTTGAGATATCCCCCACCACTGGGCACAGCTGCTTTGTATCCCTCATGGAATCTCTCACCATCTTTTTATTTTCTTTATAGAATTGCCTTCTTTACTTATTTGCTTGTATATTGCATGTGTCTTTGGCCAATAAGATTTTATTAGTTCATTATGTGGCAGACACTGTCACAGGAACTGGGAAAATGTAAGTGGGTGTGCCCTTAAAGAGACAAACACATAAATATTGATGCTAATAATGATCTATTTACATATGTGTATAAATGTCAGTCAGTAAAAAGTGCTATAAAGAAAAATAAAACAAGCTGAAGGATTAGAGACTGGTGGTTATTATGCCTTTTGTTTTGTTTTGTTTTGTTTTTGTCAGAGGTTCAGGGCATGGTTCCCTGATTAGATGCTATTTACTCAAAGACCAAGAGGAAGTAAGAGAGGGTACCAAGCCTGTACCTAGAGAGAAAGTGGTTTGAGCAGAGGGAATTGTGAGTGCAAAAGCTTTAAGGTGGAGGCACGCTTGGTATGTTGAAAGACAAGGTAGGAGGCCAGTGTGGCTAGAGTGCAGTGAGCCAGGGGACAGTAGCAGGCAGTGAGACCAGAGGGTTATAGGACAGGGCCTGGGCACCATCAAATAAGCTTTGGAGTTCCTGACAGGATCTGAGATCTTACTCTGTGTGACACAGGGAGCCCCTTGGGAGGCGTTGGACAGAAGAATGGTATCATCCCACTCAAGTGACTTCGACTGCCATGTGGTGATGAGGATATTAGGTGGCTAGGGTCAAAGAAGGGAGAACCAGCATTATGTTGGAATGGGCTTCTACCAACTCAGCAGAAGCCATTGTGTGCATCTCTTCCTGAACCATGCCCTCATGTCACTTGAAGTTAGCCATGGTGAAAGTGATTCCATGTGGAAATCTGAAATACTATAGAGGATTACTTCTTCCTCCCTTGTCCCTTCCCCGTCTTGTCTTTCCTGCATTTCTTCCTTTCTTCTTCTTCCTCCTCCTCCCATTCCTTTTTTTCTTTTGGTTTTACAACATTATACATACTTATTTATTATTTATAAACAAAGTTGTTGATAAACATTTACCAGCACATGTCTGAAGAGACCCTTAGAAGTTTATTACAACAGTTTATATAAAAGATGGTGGTGGCTTAGACTAGCATGGTAACAAAGGAGGTGATAGGAAGTGGTGAGATTCTCCAAGGAATCTCAAACACTGACAGGTGTTACTGAATGACAAAGAAAATGGCTGAGAAAACATTTCTCAACAAAATAGTAGAGGAAATAATAAGTCAAGCCTGGCTCCCAGGTTCTCACCTTAGTATCTAACAGAATAGTTATCGTGGACTAAGATGGAAATGGCTTCGATAAATGAGCAGTTTGGGAAATGAGTAATAAAAATCTGATTTCAGACATATAAAGATTGACATATTAAAGTGTAACCAAGTGGAGATACTGAGGTAGAAAGTTGGATATATGAGCTTAGTACTCAGGAAAGGAGTCTGGATTGGAGATATCAATTCGGAAATATCCACAAAGAGAATAATATGATTCTGTTCTCCCTAATTTAAATAGGGGCTGATTGCATATTAGAACAGAGAGGCAATGCCACCGCATTTCCACTGCATCTTTTGGAGACTGCTGAGTCAGGTGTTTTTTGATGCTTTTTATAATTTTAATATAATTACAGCAACCAAATGAAAGTTGCCATGCATTGATTGAACCCTTACTTTTTCTTCAATTCAGTTTCATATTTATGCTTCTTGCCTCCTGGAACCAATCAGCTACAGCATCACTTCTCAAAATGTGGTCTCAGTATTGCCCACAGCAGATTAAATGGGTGCATTGTAACATGTAGATTTGTGCATTCAAGTGTCAGACCAATTAAATCTTAATATTAGTCCAGGGACCTGAAACTATCCATTTTAACAAATACTCATTGTCTTTACTATGTAAATAACAATTTGACCTCTCCTGTTGTAATGTTTAAATATAAAGTTTAATATCTTTTCTATCCTTTTGTAAGGATTGCCATGGCAAAAAAAAATTTATTGATTGTTTATATCATTTATATATTTAAACCTGCCTACACATATTCTAGGTTGTTCAGGTTAAAACAGATTTAATTTCAGTCATATAGATTTCAATCTTAGTTAAATAGCAAAACCAAATTTAATCATCCTTTTTTTTTTTTTTTTTAAAGAAAAGTGGAATTTTCGGGCGTACTGTAACTTAAGATACACTGTTCAAAACAGGAAACATGAGTTTTCATCTGTAGGTATTGAATTGCTATGGTAATTTAAATAGCAAATATTTCTGATTTTCTCATGTTTTGGGTGACAGAATCGAGTTCCTTTTCCCAGCTCTCGTGATGGGATCAGAAAAGTAATTGTGACCAAGTGTGCCTGGGGCCAGAGTATTTAATTTCCAGCGTTCCTTCATCTTACTTGCATCTTTCTCCACATTTGAGGTGGAAGTTGCCGTTATCTTGCTTAGCTAAGATGCTACGGTCAGCAAAGCTTCCCTGCTAACCTGTAATGAACGTTTAATGTGAGGGAGAAATACTTCTTTGTGATTTTAAACTGGTTGGTACTCCAGCATCATCTAAAGCATCCTGACTGATCGTGACTTTCTCTAGCAAAAATGAACTACTCTAACCTGACTTATCTCCTATTTAACATGCTGAGAGTGGGAATTGATCTAAGGTAATTCATTGCCTCAACAAATTAGGGATTTTTTGGTCAATATTTTGACCTTTGACAAATGAGAGATAGGTAGGAGGTAAATGTCTCTTCTCTTACAAATTTGCTACTAATTAGGTTGTTTCAAAAACAAAAACACCAAGAAACAAATGTTACTGATCAATTTCTGCAAAGGTACAAACTTTTATTAACAATCAGGTACAAAATCAAATAGCTTGTTCTAAATAATCTGGAGGGAGTCTCTGTTCCTTGTCTTTTTAGGCATGCCATCCAGCGCTTTGTAGAAAAAGTTCACCGCAGAGCAAATGCAACTGTATTCTGGTAGCAGGAGCAATGAGCCTTCTAGTAGTAGCAGGTGAAGGACCCTCCTTCTGTGTCCAGGAGTGGGTACCAATTCAAATGGATTTTAGATGGAAGGTACCACTTCAAAGATGTGAGACTTGCAACCTTTTCCTGGGATTATTTTACTTTGTTCCCACAATGGGGAGATTACCCAGTGTTTCTTGCCAATCACATATCTTGATCATCATTTGTCTCATCAGTGAAAAGTTATTTGTAACGTGTCTTGTAAATTACCAAGCTCCCATGTGTACTTTCACAGTGCAGTATTGGGAGACTTGACGCATTTGCCACAGGTGCCCCTAGAGGATAAACTACTGATTAGGAAATGGCAAATCTTAACCAATGTAGAGAGTGGATCTCTGATTAGATTTCTTTAAATTTTGGCTAACTTGTAGTGTGTACATTAAAGAAAAAAAGGTACTGTGAAATCTCTCTACAGGAGCATTTAAAAGTAAAGTATAGGCACTAACAGAATTAATTATGGATTTTTGTTTATTTTCCCCTATGTTCTACTAGGACTACAAAAACCATAAAACTGACCAGAATCTTATATTATTGTATTCAACAAATGTCAATGTTTTGCTTGATGAAGTAATGTGGTGCTTGATTTTTAAAAATTTACTCTAGACTTTGTTATCAATATTTGACTAGTTTACTTCAATATTAAACAGATCAATAACCATTTGTTATTTAAACAAATGTTTAACCACAAACATCACATATATGTATATGGATGTGTGTGTCTGTGTATGTATTTATAATTGAACTGCTTATATATCATGTAGTGTTTTAAACAAAAAAATAGATAATAGCATCTTAAAATTAAATCTTAAGACATGGGGTTATAAGTTTCAATTTTGCTTTTCTTTCTGCATATTCATGGTCTGTAGAGGAGGCTAGACTTCCCTAATGTTTTAGTTTCCAAATATTTTGCCAAGTATGAATGAACTAGGTCAATGAAGGAAAACATTCTTTCTGCAGCCTACATTAATATTCTACTGTTTGAAAAACTGGACTAACCCATCAATCATTTTGTTAATATTTGTAGCTTCTCACAGAGTTGGAATATAACTTGTAAAACCTCATAAGTAAACATAGGTTTTTCAAATCTTTACCTAATTTTAAATTCTTTTAGTTACTGTTGTGAATAAAGAATTTCTGGATGGCTAATATCAGCTAATAAGATTAGTAAGGAATGAATTGTAAATAGAGCATATAAAATTACTTATTTTCAAACACTTCTTGAAAACTTGAAATAGTCTCTCTAGTATTATAATTTTATACATTTGACTTTTTATGATATATTTAATGGCAACGATTAAAATAAAACTGTTTTTTAAAAGTAGCATTTTACTAATAGCCCCATGACTGAAAAAAAGTTCATAAATTTATAGATATTAAACAAATTGAATGGTGATTTTTTTCTTTTCACTTTTGTCTCTAAAATATTTTCGGTATTTTGTAAACAGCAATAAAAATAGCAACAGTAAAAATTGACTTCATGGAAACTTAACTGTGACTGGACCTCTTTTAATATTTTTATTAATTTTGCCTCCTGTGAATTTTGATGTTTGGAAGTTATATATTTCCAAACTTAGAAAACAGACCTACAATAAATTAGATTGATTATTCCTAGTGAAGCACTTTACTAATATGACTAATATGATTAATATTATTGTGTAGTAGTTATTAGGGAGCCTAAGAGGAAGAATATAGGGAGGATGGTTTCAACTGACAGGTTTTAAAGTAAAATGTTTAAGCATTTTAGACATTCCATTTTAATAAGTATGTTTTCATTTTAATTTTTTAAAGAATAAACATGAAATGAATGATTTGGATGTAGGTTAGTTTATGGAAATTTTTGATGATGACTATATATTGATTACTTTTCATTTCAGGTTATTGATTATTAAAATGGCACTGTAAAGAGATAGCTCCAAAATAACAGTAAGTCTTAATTATTTGAAAGACATATTGTTTTAATATTGCACTATAACATACCATACCATATTTGGTGATTTTTTTTTCTCCATTCCAGTTTTGTATGCGACTATAGGGCATAGAATGTGAGTAGCACCCCTAGAACTCAAAGTATATTTTTATGTGAAGCTGACATGTTTTTAACTTGACTCTGCCAGTTAATAATTTTTGGATTTGGCAAGCTTCAGTACAGTCATATTTTTGAGAAAAGCCAACAAAAGTATTTCTCTTCTAATTCGATGTCCTTTTTTCTCTTAAAGAGATTTTTGTGTGCAAATGCTTATAAATTTATTATTATAGTAACACTAATATATTTTATTTCTTTCTACTGTGCTAAAAATAATTAACGTTTATGATACATTTAAACTTTTGTCAGTCAGAAGATCTAGTTATTAAACTAAATGAAATAGGTATAACAATACCTTCTTTACTGGAGTTAGATTATCTCTGCAACTAATACACACTTACATCAGATGTTATATAGTACCATTGCTACCTCAATGCATGCATCCTAATATGTTTATTATTTATAATAAAAATTTTATATCAGTCATACATTTTCTTCTGAAATGCATACATATCATATGCAATGGACTGGTGGAAATACTGTACTATTTCTCATTACTTATTAGAATAATTTAAAATATTGGTTTTGGCTAAACGACTAATCAGTGTTTTAGTGGAACAGATTTACAACCTTTCTTGACAGTAAAATATACTTGTTGTGTATAACATTTCTTATCCAAAGACAGTTGACACAGTAGTAAACTTAATAATCACCTCCAGAAATAAAACATGGAAAAATAACATTAAATTAAAAACAACTGGCAATTTTAGATATACATGTATGCATGTGTATATGTTAATATGTGTATGTTACACACACAGAGTTTATACAGGCATATAATAATATACCATTATGTATTATATATATATTACACAGACATATAATATATATTTAAATAAATTATATAAGTATATGTAAGTAAATTATATAAATACATATAAATATGTAAACATAATTATATAGATATATAATTATAAAGGCAGTCGATTCTAAAACTCAAAGCAGACACATATAAAGAGAAAGTTACTAATCATTTCCTCCTCTCATCCTGAGGCAGCCAATATCAGAGTGTGGTGTGTTTCTCTACCTCACTCATAAGCTTCTCCAAGCTCAGAAATCATAGATGCATATTTGTACATCTCTTTTGCTAGAAAGAGGGATGTGATTTTGTTTATGTGGTTTGTTTTTATAGAGAAACTGTCAAACATATTGCTCTTCATTTTGTTTTGTATAGATACCCCTTCAAATTAATATACAGAATATTCCATATTAAGGCACACTATTTTTAATTTAAGGAAATAAAAATCTGGATATTCATTGTCTTTTTTCTATCATAGCCATAGTAAAAAGTACCAATATTATCATGGACTGCAAATCTCAGGGATATTTTAACTCCAGATCTGATAACCACATGAAAATGACTTTGATGTCTATGGGAAAGCAGGAAACCAAGATTTACAAAGTGAGTTGCAATTTGGTAGACAATGTTCTTTTACTAATCTATTTGTTATCTAGTGCTATCTCTCTCCAAAAATACCTGATCCCCATGGTAGAATACATGCTTCACTATGATATCATGGTTGTACTTTTCAGACACCATATTTGGTGAAAAAAATCACATTATAAAACCATATGTCAGTAGAAAGGAATGAGTTAGGGAATAGATTTGTTAAGCTCCTACCAATGATATAAAGGCGGACGCAGGATTTTCTTTAGATTGACTAGGTATGACGAAGAGAGCAAAAGTAAGTTAAGCCATGGATTAATCCAAGTGAATACAATTCAAGGAAAATAAACAGGATATAATCATATTTAAGAATAAATAATATTCCTTAATGAAAACATTATAGCAATTTTGTTTAGAATGGCATAGGTCATCAGAAAGCTATATGTATGTATTATGATATATATTGTATACACTCAATCTATTACATATTCAACATGTATTACACACATATTAATATTATGTCTATTATATACTCACATTTCACATAGTATACTGATATAGTATACCTACCATACTGTTAGGTGCATCTGACTTCTTCCCTCTTAAATTTTGCATGCACAGACTATATTTCCTGTACAAAATTTAAATCCTAAGAATAATGTAGCAAAGGTAGATCATGCTTTTGAGAAGCTTTTTAAATTAACAAGTGTTTAAATGTCTTTGTATATATGTCTGTTATGTGTATGTTCGTGTGTGTGTGTGTGTGGTTAGCATTGAGCCTAAGTTCCAAGCAAACAGTGTGGATCAGGCAGATTTAGTTCAGCTGAAACTTAAGGAGAAAATTGGCAAGAATGATTCAATTCAATCTATCAACATTGATTAAATGCTTACTATACACCAGGTACTCTTCTAAAGGTTCAGGTTATAGTAGTGAACACAGAAAGTCCCAAGCAAACACAGCTCTTACATTCTATAGGTGGTGCTGGGGGCACATGGAGAGGAGGGGGAAGACATTAAGCCAAAAACCAAACAAATAGAAAACATCATACTGTTTTTGAGTGTCAAATAGTGTGAAGAAAAATAAAGTTGGTTGGGTGGCTATGGGGAGTGTTTCATGTATTTTTGGTTGCAGATGATTTTTTGGAGTTGGTAGCATCTGAGAAGAGACCTGCAAGAAGTGAAGAAGTATGCTACCATGCATACCCTGGGAGAGGGCACCCCGAGGCAGGGGGAAGAGCCAGTCGGGTTTTCAAGGAGAGCAGAGTGAGGCATATTTGAGCTATACCAGAGACAATAAGATGGTGAAGTAAGGCCATGAAAGACCTTGTTGGCCATATCAACAATATTGGCTTGCTTTTCCTAAGTCAGTTGGGCCCTTGGAGGCTTTTGATCAATGAGGTCTCAGTTTATATCATATATAAGTGAATCTGTATATTTTAAGAGTTCAATCTGTGGCAGGGCGCAATGGCTCATGCCTGTTATCCTAGCACTTTGCAAGGTGGAGGAGGGTGGATCATGAGGTCAAGAGATTGAGATCATCCTGGCCAACATGGCAAAACCCCATCTCTCCTGAAAATACAAAAATTAGCCACGCTTGGTGGCCCACGCCTGTTATCTCAGTTACTTGGGAGACTGAGGCAGGAAAATCGCTTGAACCTGGGAGGTGGAGGTTGTAGTGAGCCGAGATCACGCCACTGCACTCCAGCCTGGTGACAGAACGAGACTGTGTCTAAAAAAAATTAATCAATAAATAAAAGAGTTCACTCTGCTACATGAAAACTAGCCTGCGAGAAGCTGGGAAATTGGTTCAGCGCTTATGGCAGTACTTTGGAAGAGTGAACTTGTAGACACTAGGCGCTTCAAAACAGAATATTAATAACATAATATTTGATCTGTAATTTATCTGATTCTCACAACAGAATAGAATAGTATGTGTAGAGCCTTTAAAGCAATACTAGCATACAGTAAGTTCCATGGAAATTCTAACTGTTAACTTTGTCCTCTTTGTCATCATAATCACCATCATCATTATCCAAATGCTTAATAGACGTTCTTGGGAAAAAGGTAGTCTTCTCAAATGATGTTACAAATATGGTGGGCGCCTGTAGTCCCAGCTACTGGGGAGGCTGAGGCAGGAGAATGGCGTGAACCTGAGAGGTGGAGCTTGCAATGAGCCGAGATCGTGCCACTGCACTCCAGCCTGGGTGACAGAGCAAGACTCTGTCTCAAAACACAAAAAAGAATTTTATGTGTAACATCCAATTCTTTTTTCATCCTTAAGTTATTGCATGAGTTATAATTAAACCTAATTTTTAAAAAAACAACTAAACTAAATTGGCGTTATTTCTATTTACATCTTAAAAATTAAATCCTAATCAAACTTTCCTCTTCATTTATATGAAAATTTTGTCTCCAAATGTGTACATTTATTTTCAGCTGACTTTTCCCAGTCCATTACTCATAGATAGAAATGTCTTCTGTGTACTATTGTTTTTATATGATTTTTTCTGTGCTTAGCCCTAGTTGATATACACACATATACATAACCATGTACAATATTCACTGTACTCTTTGAAATTCATGGCTTAGCACATGAAAAGTAGCATATTAGACTTTAAAATAATACAAATATATTTGGTTATGCTTGAAAAAATAAACTTTTTGCAAAAAATATCACTGGCTGCACATACACATATTCATATAAAATAATGCATATCAATAAAAACTCATATAGGCAATTATACAATAATTGTTTGTTTGGAAGTAAATAGTATCAGAAAATTAGAAAATAGTTCTTGTGTAAGTTATTCTTCTACTAATTTGTTCTTAGTTTCCTGAGGACTGCTTTCTTAAAAACAGATTTACATGGTATGCAAGTCAGTTTTGTGTAGCGTTTTTGTTTTATGGTTATTATTGTTTTGTTTGTTTTATGTGTGTATTTTTAAAAGTCTGGCAGAGTGATAAATGGTGCTAGTTTTAACGAGCTTCAAACACTGATTGGTATTTTTAAACATACACCTTTGATACATAACAAAACAAATAAAAACAGAACGTTACGTCAAATGGAGAAAGTAGTACAGATAAAATGTTCTAGTTTTCTGATCTATGCCTGGCAAATACATGTATGTACTCAGGGAAATTTGGTGTGTTTTCCTATGTGATACATAAAATGGATAATTTTAATATATTCCCCATTTTGAACATTATATTAGAGTGAGAAAAACACAAAATATATTTAAAATCGCAAAAAGTTTTAGTAAAGTTCTGAAATTAAAATAACTCCATGAGTATTTTTTTTAAGAAAATATTTTCAATTTAGTGATAAATGAATTTGTATATGTAAGGCCAAATCCGAAATAGTCTAAAGCTAAGATTCAGGCCCGTCTCAGCTAAATGACATAAAATCAAATGATAAAAGTTGACAATTCATTTTGGATTTTAGATGTAAAACATATGTTGCTGATGTTAGTTTGACATGTGTCAGACACCTTCAAAATGTATGTATGAATATTTATATTCTTCATACATATATGTTTATGGGATAATATTGAAATTAAATAACGTTTTTAGAAAATTAATGTGACAATATCCAAACAGAATTGAGATATCAGACACAAAACATCAGTGTTTAGGCCTATTTGCCATTGACCTCTTACTAAAGTGCTTCAGAAAAATATCCTCACAGAAAGCTGGTTGGCCTTTCACCGTGCTCCAAAGTGGGTGAGCATAGCTCAGCTGATGTCTACAAACTGTGAGATTGTATGAGCAGATATTGTGTTTTTCCTTCCAACAGTATAAGTTGCCATTGTTTAATCTTTTGATGTGGCTCTGGAAGAGAATATGGTCATTGGTACTCATTCTGGGGGAGAAAAAGAGCAGGTGGGGGTGGAGGGAGGAGGATGCAGACTGAAGGACATAGCATAGTGGCAAAAGACAGTGTTCCCTCTCCAGAGGTGAAGACCTGAGTCCCCGCTGGGAGACGTATCAGTTTCCGTGCCTGGAACATCGCATCTTTGGCACCTATCTTGTACTCAGTGTAAGTCCAGCATTAAGATATATGTATTTTTCCTACTGCATAGCATCTAAACGGAAACCAATCACATCATTATGGATAACAAAGAAGCCAAATTAAAAAATAAAAATAAAAATCCTGCCTTTATTAGACTAATTGAGAGGCCCCAGGTTTTTAGCATGCGTGGTTGCTTTAGAACCTAACTCTCCAACAAGATGTGGCTCCATTCTGCTAGGAAGCAGTCTAGGGCAGCCCTGTGCAAAATGGGGTCCGTGGGCCAGGCCCTTCCGAGAACGGTTTGATACCCGTTAGAAAACACGGAAGTACAAAAATAGAGAGTAAGCATTTAGAACATTTCATAGAAAATCAACCCAACATTTGTGTCTGTTGATTCAAATAATAAAATATGAACGTTTTCATGTCAGTTTTTACATTTAATTTCTCCAATTATCCACTTTTACTGTAAATTGCAAAGTGTTAGTTCATGATTTAGGAAAAAAATAGTCTGGTTTAGACCACAGTTAGTTTGAGAAGCACTGGGGTAGCACTTTTAGAGTTTCAACATAGATCAATATAAGACAAGTGTGATCAATGGCAAATGTATTTTCAATCCCTTGAAATATCAAGGCAACAATGAGGTTGCATAATTATATCCCTAAAGGAATTTGCATATTTATTAATAAGCTTTGTCATCCTCTCTCTTAAGTATTTATGTGAAAACATTCTGAATGCAAAAGGTCATATTTAATAGACTAAATAGAATGTCTATAGAACTGCATTTATATGTGCTAAAATCCTATTATCATTTTACTATAAACTTCTCTCCTTGCTGTTATTGCTTAACTTCTATAGGGCATTTGTATGTGGTCCTCTTAAAACATTTACTGGAAAGAAACTTAATAAAAATAAATTTATCAATCTGAGATGTGATTTCTCATGAGAATCTTGAATATCTGCATTTAGAAATTATATATATGGTCATTTATAGAAAAAAGGAAAGATATCCTTAAAAAATGGAATAAGAAAATGATTTATATAGTTATGCTAACAAAATATCTTATTTTAGCAACCACCTGTCTATCACTCTTACCAGTGAAAATTACTCATAAAATAGCTGCTCCTTATAGCTAGGGGTAAGAGATGCAAACAAGACTACTTTTAATCTTGAAAAGCATGCAAAAGAAAATTTAAACATAGATATCAAAAGAGAAAAACTGTTCTCCAATTTGTCACCAAGTCATTGCTCCCTATATTAAAACCAGCAATTACGAAATCCTCACTCAAAGTCATTGTTTGCAGTGCCCTGTAACAAGCTGGAAGTGTCTTTACATGTATTATTAAATTGCCGTTACTGCCATCTAGTGGGAAGATATACTCCTTGTCACTATGTCAGGGATTGTACATAAAGCCCTAAAGTTCTAAGTGTAAAGGGAAAGCCATGGTTTATGTGAATCGCAGAGAGTAAAATGGCAAACTGAAGACACAGTCTCATGACAATAGAGACATAATAGACATCTATTCACTGAATAAGTTAAAGAGGTATTTGGGATGAAAAGAAAGGGTGTGGGGAATGTATGCATTCACAAGAATTCATTTTGTGTACACCCAAAATTATATCCAAAGTATTATTTCTTATTGAACACAGGTTACCTGAACCAGGACATTTTATTACCTGTAGACTTATTTTGTCTTTACCTTTTGAATGTAGATGGATTGTTTTGCATATGCTTATTAAGTCTTAAAATGAAGACAGCTTAGATCTGTTCTTAAAAGGTAAGGTTCCTATGAAACACTGTAACATGTGAATCTTATTATAATGCAGATTCAGACTCCCCGGGGGTCTGCATTTCTAGCAGCTCTTAGGTGATACCGTGCTCCCGTTTATAGTCAGACCATACTTGAGGCAGTTACAGGCTTTGAGTAGGTTACCAAAGGGAAGGAGTCCAGAAAAGAAGCAAACTTCCCCACAGAGTGTATTTCACTGCTTGTTATCTTGTTATAATGTAATAGACTAGTTCATTCAATGGCCTATAGAGTCAAACTGCCAAATTCATTTGTTGAGTTTGTTGCTTAACTATGTAGGTAGCCTCGGACAAGATATTTCACATCTCTATGACTTACTTTCATCCTCTGTAAAATAATATAAGTCATACATAACTAAATATACATACATAAATCGACGTATATAAAAAACTATCTCATGGTTCGTATGGGAAATAAATGAGCTAAAATCTCAAGATGAACCATATGAAACTGCCGTCTGTATAGATTAAAAATAAACATCCACAATTTTATATAGTTAAAACTAAGTATGTACATTATTTAGTATAATATGTAACAGCTAGTGAACAATAAATGTTAGCATCAGCAACAGTTGTCACTGGGTAAATTTATAGACACATGAATATACTCACACCCTAAAAAGTTTCTTTCAATGAAGAGAATTTTGACATCAAATACACATTGTGCAGTAGCACATATAAACCACGAGGACATAGAAAAAAAAAACAAAGACTCTGGATAAAATTAATAATATGATAAGCCTGTTCTGGGGAAAAT